CGGGAAGCACGCGTCGAATGAGATGGGAAGTGGGGCCGGCCGTGGCCGAGGCGTCGGGTGGGTGCGGCGCCGATGCAGGACTTGGAGCGGGGGAGCGTGGCGAGGCGCGGGAGAGGGGTATGATGCGTGGCGCGGGTGTGGCACGTGGCGTGCGTAGGGAAGCCGCGAAGCCTAGACGGACGGGATACCGCGGCAGGATGTTGCAGAGACCTGGGCGGGGACCGGGGCGGACCGGGGCGGGACCGGGCGGGACCCGGGGCGGGACCGGGGCGGGACCGGGCGGGACGGACGGGACCGGGGCGAACCGGGCCGAGCGGAGCGTGAGGCGGGAGGCTCGGCCGCAAGCGCTGCCAGAAAGATAAATAGAGCGGAGGTGGAGGGCCATCGATTGCAGGCGGCCGCCCGCGCCGTCCGCAAAGACGCGCAGCCCCGCAGTTTCGCCATCCCCACCACCCCCACTCCCCAAAACGCCCGCGTTCGCGGCTGCCGCAAGACGGTGGTGGCACTTTGCGAAGTAAGGTTGTGGACTCAAATGCTTCTGGACCATGACTATCGGGAGCGTTAGCGTGTTTATGACACTTAACTGGGACGGTTTCTTAGTTTCCGACGTATTTGTGTTTCTCACGAGAATTCGAAACATTTCCTTGAACAATGGCTCATAGTTGTCTGATCGCGTGCGATCCTCTGTTCTGCCGTTGGAGAGGAGCGAGAGCGGCCATCGGGGACTCGTGACGCGCAGGGGGCGTGGCGCGGGTGCGGGAGGGGGGCGAACTGTGGTTTAGAGGGTGGCTAATCGCAACTATTAGGATAGGTCAGAATGTGAATGCTAAGACAGAGAGCAGACAAGAGCAAAGAGAAGAAAGAGAGAAAGAGAGACAAAGAAAAGAGAGAGAAGAAAGAGAGATGAGAGAAGAGAGAGAGAAAGGAGAGAGAGAGAAAGATGCAGAGAGAGAAGAGAGAGAAAAGAGAAAGAAAGAGGAGAGAAAGGAGAGAGAAAGAAGAGAGAAAGAGAGAGGAAAGAGAAGCAAGAGAGAGCAAGAGGGAGAAGAGGGAGAAAGGGAGAAAGAGGGAGAAAGAGAGGAGGGGAGAAAGAAAGAGAAGAGAGAGAGAGAGGAGCGGCAGAAGGAAAAGAGTGGGAATCTCTCAACAAAATATCCCTCTCATTTTTCGTTCCTGGCGTTCGCATCAGCCTTCCATTAATCATCGTAGTCCATCCTTTTACCCTTAAACAAACGCACTCACGCCCATAATATATACTGTCATGCCCGGCATATCGCTTCATTAGTCCTCGGCGTCAACCAACCCACTCGGCCTTTTGTGTCTAGTTATGCTAACGCGCCGTATAAGCAACACGCACATATTTTGTTTGGTAGGAAAGACAATACCACGTTTATCATGCGGTTTTGTGTACACTTATCCGGAGTATGAACATAAATATTGAACAGGAAGAACTTGGAAGGTGTGGAAGTTCTTTTGAAGTAAAGTTTAAAGAATGTTGACTTCACCACAGTATAGTGTTCAACTGGAGAGCTGTTTACTACTATCTGAAACGTTCCAGAAATTCGTCAACCAGATTTTCGCGTGTTATATGCTCGCGTATTCTGTGTAAGGTCACACTTATAAATTACTGCTTACACTACCACCGGCCATGTTGGGCCTAGACCATTTAGAGCTTAGACGTTTGGTACTCGGGCTGCGGCCCCGCGCCCTACCTAGGTGGATGAAGATAAGTGTTGATTAGCGGATAACCCTACAGCCTCCATAGACCGGCAGTGAATGATTGGCGTCGGATCTTGCCATCCGGCGGGGGAAGATCACCGCCACACCCTCCAACGAATAAAAGCATGCACTACACTTAGAGAACCTTCGCAGCGACGCGTGTGAAACCTATCAATCCAATCCAACATTTTCTGCGTAAGGTGCAAGTTGTGCTTCCACATTTAGTAGATGCCACTCGTGAATATTAATATTATTTCATACTATGAAGCATTTATTTGTTTTACGTGCCTCAAAGGCCTACCATGCCGTAAGGTAGGGCTGTTGCGGCAAATGTAGCCATAAATAATATATCATCACCAACTTATGAACATGAAATATTTGGTACAACATTTTCTGGATTTATTTATAAAATAATCGGCCAGCACAACGATTGATTACAATAATGAGAAGGAACCTACAATCATTCACAAAAATGAGTAGCATTAAACAAAGTATCCACACTGCCATAAGACGAAACCGGTATAGAGCAAACTATATATTTAGATTCTTTAGATTTTTAAAACTGCAGATAACAATATTTACGTAATTCACCAATTGAAAATATATATTATAGTCAAAATTAATGTACACTCAGAGTCTATTTGTTTTCCAATTGTCTTCCTTGACATGTTAATCAGCTTTCTTCTTAATGATCGCTGTACGTAATTATAAACTCCTGGTAAATGCTGCCTTTATAACATGCTCCAATAACCATGCATTTATATCATGGAAATATTCGAACAATATTCACACTTCTATGGCTATAAGCAAAAATTAGCTATTAATAGAGATTTAACAAAATACAGTTACGATAATCATGTCGCTCTAATAGGAAACCCACAATACCATAGCTGTGATAGATAAAGCGCCACATTACATTAATACGATTAACGTAGTGTTAAATTTATTATGTATTTTATTATGTTTTGCTTGTTCTGTTTCATTGAGATTCACCCTATTGAGGACAGGTTTATCCAAAGACATCTTCTCCATCTTTAAATTACTAGGTTTTAAAATCTTCAAGGAATCACTGCATCTGTTCGCAGACATCAAGGCGCCGGTTAGCAATGTGTTTATTGGCCTCGTTAATCGGTGAAAATATTATGGACGCAACTGACTGAGATCCTAAACCCAACACAATAAGGAATAGCAATACCCTCGCCCAACCCCCTCCCTTCGCCTTCCGCGCCGCTCGCCCCAGCGCCCTTCAAGCTCACCCGTCGTCCGACATGCGTTCCTTGGCTCTCCGTTCACCTTCCGTTGTTCCCTCACCACCCCCTCTCACCTGCCCGGGCAAGCTGCTACACACGTTGCTTCTTGCTCGTTCACTCGCTGGCGTCGTTCGCCGCGTGTTCACGATCTCGCCTTCTTCACCGCTCTCCCAAGCACCTCCCTGCACCCTCTGAACCCACCACCTTCCTACACCTACTCTGAAAGATACTCCCGCTCGCGCACTGCAAATCCACTCTCGTCCCCTAGTGGCTTACAGGTCACCCACCGCAGCTGCCTACATCGCTCCCTCTCCTTCCGCTTGCCGTCCGCCCTTCATCGGCCTCCCGTCCACCCGCCCACCCACCGCTTGGTCGAATCTACGCTCACTGACCACTCCGCCCGACGCCCTGCTCCCCGCCCTTTTGTTGGCCCGTTGTCCACTCGCACACCCAGCGCCCGCTCATTCCTACGCTCACTGACCGCTCAGCTCTTCTCCGTTTCCCTGCCCTTCCGCCTGCCCTCCGCCCTTTCCCTGGCCTCTCTCCGCCCACCCACCGCTCGCTCACTGTTACGCCTACACTCCCTTTCCTTCCGTCTGCACTTCGCCCCTCGCACTTCCGCATCTTTCCCGTCCATCCTCCGCCTTCTGATCACCCTGCTCTTCTTCCCTTTACATCCCCGTGTCCACCGCCCTTCCCCAGCCACCCACTGCCCACTGACTACTTCGCTCCCTTCCCCTTTCCAGCCCTTCCCCGGCCACTTTCCCGCCGATGCTCCGCCCACTGGCCACCCCGTTCCCTTTTCCTTTCCTTCCGCCTGCCCTACGCTCTCTCTCCCCCTCTTACCGGAAACCCTCTGCCAGCCTCCCCTCACATACGCTGACTGCCCCACTCCCTTCCCCTCGTCCGCATCCGCCCTTTTGCCACCTCCAGCCGGCAGCTGCCGCCGTCTCCTTCCTGCAAAAGCCTCCCCTCGAACAATAAGATGAAAGTCGCCGGAAGACGCCGCAGGCCCAAGACGCGAAATACGACAGTTCGGGTTTGCCTCCGGGACACCAATCACGCTACGTCGGATCTCTTTCTTGCTCTTTCCCGGGACTTTTTTTGTCGGCTGCGACTTTCTTGCGAGTCGTCATACGCCGGATAGTTTCTGCGGCAGAAAAATTCTCTTCGCAACGATAACTTCGTAAACTCTTTATACCGTTTTGATATTCAAAACTGAGGAGATTTTTTAGAAAGCATACTTTTTGGTGGGTTTAAGATTTTTGCAAGGGAATCTGACGGAAATTTTGCACCATATTCTATGCTCAGAGTATTTCATTAGTTTATTACGAAATTCTTTGTGCGTTCAGACGAATGCAAGTCTTTGGTGAAAAAAGTGATTACTGTTATTTGCATAAAAAACTTAACATAATATTCACTTATTTAATCACGATTATCGAGAATAAAAACAACAACCAGCTACCTCTAAATATAGACTTTTGGATTTAAAGTGTCACTAAGTGTACATTAGAATTTCTCGGCCTTTCATATTAGTATGGTTCCTCAAATTTCTCATAGACTCTTACGTCTAGCTCTTTCACTTCTGTTAAAACAAAACCACTGCTTTCCCCAGCTTCCTCAAAGGACTAATTTCTAGATAATCATACACTGTATACATTACAGACCATTTTCTAATTACAATAGTTATGTAGACTATTGTTCTGTAGAATAATCCTCATGATTGAACCGTATGATCGTAATGAAGGGAGGCTAGTTGCGGCTTATTGATGAACAATGCAAGCTTAT